AATTTTTGTGGAGAGTTCAGTGGGCACCTCTATTTCAGTCTTTGAGCATGCTGCTACCTCCCCGTAGCTATTCACAAACCAGGGGAGCACCGGCATTTCCCTGCCTAACTTGGGTGTGTAGGGCCCAATCAGTAGGGGCCCTGCAAGCATGCCTATTGGATTAGGCACTTCAGAGGATTTCTGAAACATTATGGGGGAAAAGATAGTGATCCCTCATAGCATTTAGCTCAGCAGTTGGTATGCTTACCTGGGAACCCTCCATTTCAAGTTTCTTCCTGTACCTGAGGGGAGAAAGGATTTGAACAAGAATTTACCACCTCTTAGGTGAGTGCTCTCATCACTTGATGTGGGGTTCCCTCAGTCTCTCTGGATGAAACTTTTGCACTGCACTTAAATAAAGAGTCATTGGAGCAGGAAGACTGATCCTGAGTTCCAGCAGGCTATAGAATCACACACGTGCTTGTGCGCTCGCTCACTCTTGCGAAGTCATTTGGGCCAGAGAGCGCAAGTGAGCGAGCAAAAGCATGACTCTATTGCCAGGTGGTTAGAATGTACAGCTGGGACCTGGAAGATGGAGAATCAGGTCCCCCTGTTCCAGTGACTTTTTTAAATTAGTTATCTAGAGTGCTTCAGCTTCAACAGGAGAGGCTGAGGGACACCTTGCTCTCACTTCCAAATAGCCTATATCCCAATGAGTAGAGCACTTATCTAATCTCAAAGAGAGAGAGAGGAATTCAATTGAGGGGAGGTTCCCCCACATCCCTAATCACGGGGCTAAAAACTCTGGAGTGTCTCCTCCCATCCAACTTCTTGCTAAAACGGTGAAGGCACATAACGCTAACGTAACCCACACACTGGGTATTGTTCACTGTCCTGTGTAAGCAGGACTTAAACCACTTACAGAGAAAGAACTAATGAGTGTACTCCTCAATCTTAGCTGTGTGCCAGCTGGCTTTTAGCTCAAGCTGTAAAGAGGCTCATGAAGCTGCAGAGGTCACATGTTTGGATCTGCCTTTTGGCGCCACGCTTAAGAGAGGGTTTAAATCTGGAAATTACAAAGAGGGATGGGGCCTCCAATGCAGAAGGTTTAGCACACCGCCCTGTTGTTGGCATCTCTCATTGGCTCGCTTCGATGACACCTTGCTAGCATGCTGGCTTCTGTGAATCACAGTCTAAGATGTCTATTCATTGTGTAGGAGCTTAGGAGCCTAACTAAGGCTTTGTGAATCACAATGATCCTCAAGGCACCTAAAAAAGTTAGTTGTTGTGTCACTGATCATCACAACACTTCACTTCTTTTTGTGAAGTCTGGCCTTTGTGTATAAAAACAGCTTTGCACTATTGAGCTGTTAGGCTACGTCTACACTGCGGAGCTATTTCGGGATACCTTCAGTATCCCAAAATAGCTATTCCCCTTCTTAAGAGCAAGTCCATTATATCAAAATATAACAGGCTTGCTATTCCGACGGCCCTGTAAACTCCATTGCACGAGAATTAAGAAATGTTTCAGCACAGCGCCTTATTTTGAAATGTGGCTCTGTGTAGACAGTGCCAAATTTCGAAATAAGCTATTTCAAAATTACCTTGAAATAAGCTACACAATTTGCATGCCGCAAAGTCCACATCTTATTTCGAAGTCAGGATGCTGTGTAGACACACCCTTAGATGGCAGAACTGAAAGCTCCTTAGTCTTCTCTTTGTGTTCATCTAAAGAAAAAATCTCAACTATTAAAAAAAAGTATAGTTAAAAAAATTATATTTAAAATGACTCTGTGGTATAACAGAATTATAATTAATCTGAGGGGAGAGCCTCTTGGCTACATGTTTACACAGAACAGTTCAGAAGGCTGAGTGACAAGAAGGGAGTAATATATCACAACCGTCTGTGAAAAAAAGTTTTTAAGGCTTTGCAGTGAAATGGCTAAGATTTATCAATGCTGGCTTAATGCTTTTCCACATATAATACATACATTGTTAGCTAGTTGATGATGTGCTGATAGAAAATAACATAAAGACGCTATTCTTCTGTTGCAGAGTCCCACTGTAAGCCATATTAAGTTTGACTTATCAGCCTGCAGACGGGTAGTGGGTAAAAAGCTTTACATTGAAAAACTGAATTGCTTGTTAAATTTCGTCTAGATAAACTACTCTTCCTTTCCTGTACTTCAGAAAAAGAGCTTTGCATTTGACCAAAGCATTTGCAATGAGGAAGGAATTGAAATTTATTGATATAGTAAAGCACTATACTTTGTCACCTTGCAATGCACTTGTAAGAGACAAAATAGGCACTTCATGCTGAATATGAAAAATGAGTCTTTAAAGGTAAAAAGCAAAACTGCACTTCAGGAAGGCTTGTAAGAAGGACGAAAATCAGCCCCTTTATTCTTTTTTCCTTTTAATGCAATGAAATGCAAACCCTAGAGGAAAGTCTGATTTCGATTATTGCTGTTTGTTTGCTATTTCTGTTGTAGTAGTACATAAGAACCTCAATCAAGAATTATTAAATTTGGCACTATGCAAATAAACCATGCATATTCCCTGCTCACAATTGTCACTGATGAAGGAAGGGAGACAACAAGATAGCTACAGGAAGGCACAGTTGTCTCATTAGTCACAGGTGGCCACCAACCTAACCCGTTCCAGTCAGAATGGTTTCTCTTGAGACGCCTGTGCATTAGTCTCTCCCCATATATTTCCTCATGTAAAATATAATAGCAGCCAGTTTCTGTTTTATGTTTTACTTAATATTGTACTTTCACCATTCTTCAAATGCTGCATGGCAGCCAAGGAGTCAGTTAATCAAAGTGGCTCACATCAAAGTTTATTTTCTGTGGGTTCAAACATTGGTTAATAAAAATACAGAAGCAGCCAAGTTTTCAAGTTTGTGTGTGTGAACAATAATAGGGAAACATGGAGTATAATAAATCATCTAGTTATTGCCCTGAGGGATCACAGTGCCCTTCAACAGAGTTTCCATCTAAAGTTAAGTTATAAGAGCTGGGCTTTTCATTAAAAGCATATATTAGAAAAGGCAAATTAATTAGTGTGATGTTTCCAATTGAATAAATGATTGGGAACCAACTGTGTCAGAGAAATCACAAGCAAAAATGCAGTACTCAGAACTTGTTAATGCTTTTTTTGGCATGGAATTGGAGACATAGGTATCTAATATTAAATGATGTTGCAAAAGGGCAAGTTGAGACTTTATTTGCCAAATTAACTTTCAAAGATTATCTAGGTTATAAAGTTTGACTCCTGTACATAAATCTTGAATGATTGACAGACTACTGTATTATAATGCAGTTTTTTCACTGTATGCACAGGAAACTTTGGTTCTTTTTATCTCCAAGATTTGAGGGTTTATTTATTTACTTATCAGATGAAATGTTAATGAGTGAATACATTGGTGAAACATGAAGGGAAAAAACCTGATGTTAGCCAGTTCTATTCACCTTTATTGTATTGCACGTTGGATTGTTGATTTTATGGTACTTAAATTGATGGGTACATATTTTTATGGTAAAGCTCAATGACATGTTCAGAGTGCTCCATCAAACTCTCTGTGTTTCTGTGTTTGATTCACAACTCTGCAGGGTATGAATCAGTCTCCCAGTATAACCCTTAATCACTTTTTTAAAACCTATATAATGTAGTGCAGCTTTTATTTATGGCCTGAGTCATCATCTAATTATGTAAACCTACCCAAAGAAACACCAGATGGAGTATTTCCCTAAAAACTCTTGTCAGCTATACATTGACTCAGAAGTTGAAGTTTCTTTACTGGGTCCAATCAGCAGAGACAGAAAATGCACAGGCAGCACACAGCATATTTAAATCCGGTCAAAATCAAGCTGTAGGTGCCACTGATATGGGCAAGTGAGGCTTATTGTAGGGCAAGAATGAAAGAGAAGGGGCCAAAAGGACAGGCCCTTTTAAAAATTAAACTTGACAATGAGAATCCCCTTTGTTACCTGTTGACCATTCAAGCCCTACTTTCTGTGTGCAGCTGTTAAAAGAGAATGGACAGAAAGTTCTTACACTCTTGTTTGTTTTCCGCAGGGTGAAGTGAAGAAATAAAGACTCCCAGCTGAACTACTATGAGGTCAGAAGCCTTGCTGCTATATTTCACACTGCTACACTTTGCTGGGGCTGGTTTCCCAGAAGATTCTGAGCCAATCAGTATTTCGCATGGCAACTGTAAGTATGAAAGGCCCGCTGCCTGCTTTCTGCTCTCCCCTATGCTTCAAAAAGGAATGTATTGATCACTGAACTTCCTGCTTACACAGTTTTAGCCGATCTGAAGTGAACAATATTTTTTTGTTTCTTGATGGCTCTTCAGATCAGTCAGGTGATTACACTAGAGCAGAACACTTCCACCAGGACCTGTTTACAGAGCTGATGAGCTACTTGCTCCTCTAATGCCATAACCTATAACAGTGGTCCCCAGCTTTTTTTTGATACCAGGGACCTGCAAACCCATTCACAAACTTTTGGTGGACTGGTAACATTTTATGTACAGGTTTGTGTATTCAGTATGCACGTGATGAATATGCAAATGTGCAAATAAAACAGTCCCCCAAAAGCCCAGCCCCAAGAGCCCACAGTGCCAGCCTTAACCCCTAGAGTCCCACACCCCTCCACTATCCCCAATGCTGGCCACTGGCCCCAGAGTCCCCTGCACCCAACACCCCCCCAATGCCAGCCTCACGCCTTAAAAACTCCCCAGTGCCAGCCCACCATCCTAAATGCCTCAGTACTAGCTCCCTGCCCCTTAGCACCAGACCCCCCCGTACCAGCCTCCTGTTTCCAGAGCTCCACAGCACCCAACTCTCCCAGAGCCTCCTCCTATGCCAGCCCCCAATATTAGTCCCATCCCCAGAGCCCCCCAGTGCCGGCCCTGCTCCCATAACTCCCCCACTATTAGCTCAGCCTCCAGAACTCCCCAATACTAGCCCTGACCCTGGAGCCCCCAGTGCCTGCCCTGCCCCCCTCACCTAGCCCTATGCTGCTGCCTGCATTGTGGTGGTTCTGGGGGTAGGGTTGGGGTACACTGCCCAGAGCCTCCCCTCCTACCACGGCTGTTGGGAGAAGCATGCCCTGCCACACCTTTCAGCGAACCAGTACCGGGTAGGGACAGAGTCTCCGTCCAGCTGCAGAAGAGCAGTTTACTGCATAGCCCTCAGGCTGTACAGGGAAGCGCTTTTCTGCAGCCAGGAGTAGACCTTGCCCCTGCCCAGCACTGGTTGGCTAAGAGGTGGGGGCAGGACAGGCCTCTCAACAGCTGTGGCAAGAGTGGTGTACCCCATCTCCAGTCCCCAGAGCCACCATGGCCCGGGAGCCAGAGGCTGGGCCACGGCCCAGTGTTTGGAAACTGCTGACCTGGAATTTCTGTAGTGCAGCTAGTCTGCAGTTTCCCATGCAACCCACAACAAATGAGCAAAGCTTGTTTTTCATGAGCAGAAAGTTTCTTACCTGACACCCAAAAGCAAAGTTCTGGTGGTAGTAGCTCACTAATGGAGCTGTGTGGAGGATATACCATTGAAATGATTGACTAGAACTACACAAATGACCAGATTTGGTTGCTCAGTCTCTGAGGAATCTCTGTCCCACTTCACCACTTAGCATTTAGATTTTGACAAAACAACATTTTAGTGACAAGACATATTTTTTTGCCACAAATATTCTCCATTTTCTGACCTGAATTAATGGGGAGTCTCTCTGAGACTGGACTAGCACAGGACACTGCAAGTCAGGATCAAAATGGTCCTATTTAATATGGCTCAACTTTATAGGAAATCATTCACTGCATTTGATTACCTGGCTCAGGCCCTCAGTTTAAGTGCCTCTTTATCATGGTTACCACAGTCCAATCACAATTATGCCAAAAAACCTTCTCAGGACTAAATTCATATGGGGGCGTTAGGCATCTCACAGCCCCTTTAGTAGCCTAGGTACAACAAGCAGATTTAATTGGTATTTACAGAATCACACTTAGCTGCTTTGTAACTCTGGAGTTACCTAGGCATCAAAGTTTCCACTTGTGAAGTTTAGGCAGTGCCTAAATTTATGCCATGAAATCTTACATTGCCCAGCATCCTGGCATCCCGTTCACACTGGTGCCCTGTGAGTATACAATGTAGGCATTCTCCCCACCAGTATGGCAATCCATTTCCATAGTGTCCAGCATGCTAGCCACTAACCATGTGTGGCTATTTGGCTGGTTGAGTGTGGCTAGTTGGCTTGAACAATGTGGCTATTTGGTCAGCTGAGTGTGATTAGTTTGCTATAGTGGCTACAGCTTCAGAATTAGTTTGACACCATGGCATTAGACATAGTCATAGACCGGACAAAGGACAGTTGGAGAACAAGGTAGTGTCCCACCTGTCCCTTTAGCCCGTAGCCATGACCAGGCCTGCCAGGGCCCAGAAATTCTAAAGGGCCTGGGGCTCCCTGCCACCACTGCTGTTACTGTAGCTACTGTGGCACTGAGAGCTTTGGGCTCCTTAAATCACTGCTGGAGCCCTGCTTGCATGCTCCAGGTGGCTCTAAGGACTGGAGAGGCAGCATGGAATGCTCCAGCAGTGCTGAGGGCTGGCTGCCCCAGCTCCACCCCTTCTGCCCAAAGTCCTTCCCCTTCCGGGAGCATGGAGCTGGCCTCTTCCCACCTTGCCCAGAGGCCTGATATGTCTGTCATCTCCCCTGACCATGGCTTTCTCTGCCTGATGTGAGGCTTGGGTTTAAACACAGAGGTCCTCCTCACAGATGAGTGCTGTAATTTCTGGGCTTTCCCTCTCTCCTGATGGAGCTATTGTACTTTGTATAAATAATTCAATATTCATTAGTACAGATATTTGAACTTGAGTCTCCCACATTCCAGATGAGTGCATTCCACCTATAACATCATTGCCACTCTCTCATGTCTCTGAGTATGATATTATTTTATACAAATTGGAACAATGTCAACAGAAGAGTGAGAAACATCACACTGGTTAGGGCACTCTCCTGGAAAGTGTGACGCCTGCATTCAAATTCCCCACTGTCTGGTGTGGAGGAGAGATTTAAACTGAGGCCTCCCATCTCCTAAGTGAATGCTCTAGTCCCAGGACTATTGGATCTGAGGAAGTGGGTCTGGCCCACGAAAGCTCATCATCTAATAAACCATCTTGTTAGTCTTTAAAGTGCTACATTGTCCTGCATTTTGCTATTGGATAAAAGTGCAAGATGCCATCTGCAGCTCAGTTTTTCTTGGGAAAGGGTTGACTTGACTTAGGATTCATGGCTATGAACCCTCTCATGGAGCTAGGTACCTGAGAGGAAACAGGCATTTCCCTCTTGCTCAGACTAAGGCCATGTCTATACTAGGAAACTATTTCAAAATTAGTAAATTCACCTTAACTTCCAATTTAATAAATTCCAACTAACTGGTCCATACTACATAGAATTCCTGAAATTAGTCCAAAACAGGCTCCCTTAATGTGGATGCACTACCTTAACTTAGAGCTCCAGGAAGCACTGGGGTGCAATTAGTTCAAATTACTCTGGTGAGTAATTATTTCAAAATAGTGGCACCAGAACATCCACACTAATGCTATTTTGAAATAACTATTTTGGATTGAATGTTGCTCCCAATGGAAAAGAGTACAGATTTTGAATTCCTCAGCCCATTGTTTTGAAATAATGGGCTTGGTAGAGTGGACATTCCACCTATAAATTCGACTTTGTGAGGATTATGTCTAAATGAAGTCCTAGTGTAGACCTGCTCTTAGGCACCTTTTGAGAGGCAGGGCTTGGGCCCTTCTCCTCAGCATTTCCTGCTGGCTATCTTAGCTGGCAGCCTGCTCAGCTTACTGGAGACTGTGAATTCCATATTTAGGTGCCTAATTCTCCCCACACACTGTAGGAATCCTGGGTGCCTCTCTTGGGGCTGTGAATTCCATTAGATAGCAGGGCACAGCAACTAAATCTAGCCCTGGATGCTTTGCAGCAATAAGGAAGTGTTCAGCACCTGTGTGGCTTGTCCCCTGCATCTGTAAAAGTGTGGTAAGGAACGGCAAGTCAGCAATCTTAACCCCTTTGCAAAGGAAAACATGGGAAAGGTCTATTTCTATGTTATGAATGTCAGATGGCTACAAACATATAGGCCCCAATTCACACAAGGTCCGTCAGTTACAAAGGAAGCAGTGTTGGACAGAGGAAAGCTGGAATGTTAAAAATTATTATTTCTCAAGTAAATCTTGGTCAGGAAGATTAACCTTCTGAACCCAAATCTTCAGTGAGTTTGGTTAATTTATTTACCCAGGAATGCGCAGATCAAATGCAGCATCTGGTTTACAGAGAAGTTCCGGTTTCTACCCAGTTTTATAACTATGCTGATGAAAACACAGGGGGACTTTCCCAAGCCTGGACAGTGAATCAGTAACTCCACCATGATTAGAGCTGAGAGAGTTTATGATAAAAATTAGAGTATCTATAATAATAGCCCCTTATGGTAGCTTTATTTGGTTGGAGCCAATAGATTTTTGGGAAAGGGCTTAATGCTTGATTTGATGCCAGTCAGCTGCATTATGTGACTGTGCAGGAATTCTGCCTTCTAATGCTGCTTCTACTTACAGTCTCCTTTTCTTTCTGTCTTCTGCATGTCTTTCTGATTACTTTCCTGGGAGCTGGCTAGTTGACTGCCTTTTGCAGACAGACAGACAGACAGATAGAAACTCTGTCAGAAATGTTTTCTGGGTGGCTATTATAGGATCTACAGACAGATTGTATATAGACCTCATCAGTGCACATTGTCTTTCCAGCAATGAGAGCACTGGCATATAATGACTCATTGACTGTCAGAGTTAGGGAAAAGACTGAGTGGCTACTGGCGCAGACTTTCAATCAGCATTATCATCTGGCTGCCAGGAAAAGTGATGTATCAGACAGGGTGCCAAAAATAAATAAATACAGCCAAAAACATTCAAATAAATAAATGTCAATTAATGGGTACCCACAGCTTCTAGAAAAAATACACACAGCTGCCTTGCAGTGACAGCCCAATACTGCAGGAAACCCATGGAGTTGGCAATTTTGTACCTAGTAGTGCCAAGTCCTTTGCTCTGCCCACTAGCCAGCATAGTCACTGCAGTGCCAGGTTATTAAAAAACAGTGACCCTCTTTTATTTGCAGACTCATAAAACATTTAAATGGAGATCTGGACTTTTTAGACATAGTCTGTGGATCCTCCAGGAGTCCATGTAGCATAGATTGAAAACCAATGTACTATGGTAGTGACAATCTTTTGCAGATCCCTTAGACATAGTCTGTGGACCTCCAGTTGTCTTCAGACCTCAGAATGAAAACCACTGCATAGTATACATAAAATAGCTTTGTCCTGAAATATAAACGTTGGCAGGCAGCATCCAGCATTTAAATCACTGCAGGGAATGAAAAGAAAACTGTGTGAAAGTGCTAAGTACCTTTATGCCAAGAGGTCTCAGAGCAGTTTTAAGCTCTCAGGAATTACAGTTATTCATTTCTAAAAACATAATGGCTTTCTTCTTGACAATTGCAAGCAAAGATTATAACCTTGATGAGCTATGCAATCCATTGTGCTGTTACTTCAGTACCCCAGGTGATGTTGTGGGAAGGGACAGCAGGAGCAGGAACTAAAGATTTTAGCTGTGGATTTGGTGATGGGTTATTCCATGACTTCATAATGTGACCGTCTCTCTGTCGTTTGCTTTCTTTCTCCCCATCCCTTCCCCTTCTTACAGATACAAAACAGTATCCGGTGTTTGTGGGGCACAAGCCAGGACGCAACGCCACACAAAGGCACAGGCTAGACATCCAGCTGATCATGATAATGAACAGAACTCTCTACATCGCTGCTAGGTCAGTAGAGTTTTCCTCATTCTCTTCTACCTTCTACTAGAAAAAAAATGATATTCTGAGTTCATATCTGCTAGACATTTATTTTAGGATTTGATCACATACATTGGTCTTTATAGTTTGTGACACATCTTAAAAGCCACGTTCATCTGTCACCTTGGGTTCAATCCTGCAAGGAGTTGAGCAACTTCTAGGGGTGCTGGGACCTGCAGCCACCATGAAAGCCAATGGAGGTTGAAATGACTTACAAGAGCTTGCAATATAGAGCCAGAACCAATATTTCCTTACAGGAGTTTGTGATTTTTTTTTTTTTTTAAGCAACAATTAATTATATATATTTTTGGAGAACAAATATAAATGATCCATTCTGTGCATGCATTCATATTTGAATAAAAGTAATTAATCTTTAATGTTGCTGTTCTAGACATATTTTGTAGTAAAAAACAAAAAAACAGACTAAATATGCTTACTGTTTTTCTTTTGATGTACTGCAAGAGATTAATTTAATGTCTTTTCTGCATCTTTTAGCTAGACAGATATATTTTTAAATACAGAAACACATGCATTGACATGAGAGGCTTATTAGGCCAGCTCCTTAATTGGTGTAAATTGGCATAGCTGTGGCAATTTCAATGGAGCTACACCAATTCACACCCATTGCAGATCTGGAGCATATTATATGTAAAGACTAATTCTCCCATAAATTGTTGGCTTTTTAATACTAACTTAATGTTATCATATAAGTGTCACAGAATCATACCTAAATACCATGTTGATTGGCACATAAGAAAGAATACATTCAGGAGGCAAATGTGTTAGAGCCACTGATTGATGGATTGATTGATATGCCAAGGAACAGAATTGTTGAGTAAGAAGGTGCCATTTTTACACCATAATTGCACTTCCAAAGTGCTTCTCATTATGTCTAGACAGTGGAGGAATCTGAAGAATTCACTGCAAAGCTCACTTTCTGACAAACTCTTCAAATACAGGCTTGCATTCCCCACATGCCTTGGAGATTTTGCGTCCCCAGTCCTCTTCTTGTTTCCTATGATCTTTCCTTTCCTTAGCAAATACTCTTCAAGACCAGCAGTCCCTAGAAAAGGATGCAGTTTTGGAATTGCGACAGAGTGGGAAGTACTGTTTTAAGCTAAGAGCATCTATTTTCAAAACAAAGCCATTTTGTCTCCCCCCCCCCTTCCCCTTTCCTCAGACCCTACTCAAACATCATTGTGCTGATCCCTATGCATACTCCAGCCTGTTCTCAAGTATTGCACGCCATGTTTTTATAACGTCTCCAATTCCTGTCCAAAAGGCACTAAAGGATGATCAAGTCTCAAAATCAGGTATTCTGCATTGCAACCTGTAGCACTCACTAAAGGACTAGCCTGGCTGGCCTTTAATGTTCATTAGGGGCCAAATTCTGGGAACGAGGGAAAGTGTTACTCCAAATAAATACATAGGGGTGGGCAATAAGGTGGAGGACTGGAATCCTCAGCTTTAGCCTCTATAGCACCTCTATAGCACCCACCACACTGCCCAAACAGTTGACAGCTACTACTACTGGTTTTGGAATAGGAAGCAACGGATGTGATTTATGGTGCTCCAGGTAGTATTCTGAGCAACAGGATCCATGCTGTGCACGTACCTACTGGCTGGGTATCCCATTGTATAACTTCACCTGCAATTAGTCTTCAACGAACAAGTATGAATCTTGGCTTGTTAACAACAGAGGCTGTGGAGAGTCTCTCAGGGAGGGTGCTCCACTCTTTGCCTTCTCATGAAAATATATCACCAGTGTGGTTAGGTGCATGGGGTGGGAGGAGGACAGAGAAAGAGTGGCGGCAGGATTTCCGCAATATGTTTTTTTTTCATGGGTGAATTCTCTTATTTTCTGTACTCAGGTTTGTTAAATTGGTAGATTATTTTCCCACATGACAATTAGAACTGAGACTCACTAATGCAAATCTGCTTGATGGATTAAACTAGACAAACTAAAAATATTTAAAATATTAGTCTTAAGTGCATGTAATATATATAATATTTGGGTATGAATGTGTGTATTTTATTTAAATACAGAAGGGCTTCAACATTACTGGGGACAAATGACCTGCCAAAAACCAGAAAGAATCAACTTTTACTTATATGAGCACAAAAAAAATCTTCTTACACTTTTCTTTGCTCCAGTAACTTAAAAACTGTTACGTAGTTTATTTTCCTCCTCAGAAAATAACTGGGAAAAAAATCCCTGCTAAGTTGAAAAGCCTATGTGATAAAAGTTAAAATTCAAAGGGTCATTTTTATCTTCAAGTGATAAACTTTCAAACATGAGTAATCTTTCCATAATTAGCTTGAATGAAAGTTTATATCTGTAACACTAATGGTGGCAATAAACTGAGAAACTGAAGCAAATGTGAACTCAGTTGAAAGTGTTTATCAAAGAGCTTCATAACAGAATTAATTGAAACTGTATTTAGCATAAATCCCTTAGCTACCATATCAGATGCTTCTTTTAAGTTGTTTTTAGGCATCTAAATATAGTGATACTAAGTTTACATTTGTACCCAATTATCTGAAAAGCAACCAAAACAAATGATTAAACAGTGAAGTTTTTGAGAAAATCCAGTGCTCACTGTTTGCTGTGCAGTTAATTTCCTTGGGAAAAAGGACAAACTGATTTCAGAGACAGCTACCAATTTATTACTAGATGTCTGGCATACAACAAATTCTCTTTGTCAATTGCTTATTTGTTAAATATGATATGAGGATGTATATAAGAATTATGTACCATTATTAAATATTTTTGTGGCTTTGGAAAGATTGCAGTGCAAATTATGGGATGTCTATTCAGCTGATGTAAGTTAGCAAAGGCTATGTCTACACTGTAGAGTTTTAACTCTGCTGCGTCCAGGGAATGAATGCATCTGCTCTACCAAAAATGTTTTCCGGAAGAGCAGACGCACTTTTTCAGCATCCCCATAAACCTCATTTTACAAGGAAGAAAGGATGTTCCAAAAAAGGTTTTTTTTTCCGACTTTGGAGCAGTGTAGATGGGACAAGTATCAGAACAGCCTCTTCTGAAAAAAGAAGAGGAAAAAGCTACGCAAATGATGATTCGCAATTTGCGTAGCTTTTTCTGGAAGAACAGTGCAGTGTAGACATACTCACGCTTCACTGAAGTCAACACGGCTAGAGCAGTACACCCATTTGCATCAGCTGAGCATCTGTCCCAGGGTATCATTCACTTTTGGGCAAGCAGAGTAGTTTCTCCTCCAGACCATAGTTTGCTTCACTAGGACTTTTCATAGGCTTATGCTATTTTATATTTTCTACTTTTTTCCCCTCTCCCAACTTCGTAGGGTACAAATTGTGTTCTATCCAGGCAGTACCCGGGTTAAGTCAGTCCGACTTAAGTCGGACCCCTACTTACGAATGGGGGGGGCGCAGCTAGTGCAGGGTGCCTCCCCCACTGTCGCCGCCTCCAGCGGCACGGGGGGCGCTTCCCCCCCGCAGACCAGGGAGATGCGGAGCGGCTTTTCTCAGCAGACACCTCAGCTTGAGAATAAACGACTGAGGGAAGTGAGGTGTGGGAGAATAAAACTGAGCTCTGGAGAAATGTTTGGCTAGAGTTTCCCCTACAATATGTACCAGTTCCGACTTACATACAAATTCAACTTAAGAACAAACCTACAGTCCCTATCTTGTACGTAACCCGGGGACTGCCTGTAATTTAACTTTCACCTTTTGGAAGCCACTAGTACATGTTAGTGTTGCCAACTTTCTAATCAGATAAAACAGGAACACCCTTGCACAGCCACTTCTCCAAGAAGAAAGTGATTCAAATATTAGATGGAGCTTGTTGGTAGACAATATTTGTAGTTTTCTGTCTTCTCTTAGAATAAAAAGCTGGTGGGGGTGCAGGAGCAGGGCCAAGGGGGCAGAGTGTGTTGGGGGCTCAGGGCAGCAGTTTGAGGGTCCTGGAGTGAGGCTGACTTGGGAACACCTGGGGCAGAGCAGCTGGGGTGCTGCCAGCCTGGTCCCACCACACCAAGTGTCGGCGCTACCAGACCAACCCAGCAGCACTCCAGCTGCTCTGCCCCAGGCTTGTCCGATTCAGCCGCTGCTGGTCAGTTTCAACAGCGGCTGAATCTGGACGCCAGTTCCAACTTACATACAAATTCAACTTAAGAACAAACCTACGGTCCCTATCTTGTACGTAACCTGGGGACTGCCTGTAATAGGGATATAAGTGACTAGTTGAGTGATTACTTGACTACTTGCTATCCTGCCACCCTTGCTGCCTCCTGTTTCCGAGGCATCAAGGAGGAGGTAAAATCAGGAGCCGGTGCTGGGGAGAGCCAGTTTAAAAACCAAGTCTCCCCAGTACCATCTTCGCAGAGCGCGGGAGAAGTGGGGGAGGTAGAGCCGCAGCGGTCCTGGAGCCAGCACGAGTTGGGACAGCTCAGCCCTGGATCACGCCAACTCCAGGAGCTACCCCCAATGCAGCTCTGCAGTTTAAATGTAGCAGGAGCCAGGCTGCCTGCATACCCAGCTCCTATTACATTTAAATTGCAGAGCTACAAGGGGGATAGCTCCTGGATCCAACGTGAGCCAGGACTGAGCAGCTCCCCTTATCGACTAATTGTGTAGTCAATACAAATTGTTTTCTAGAAATTGTCACGACTTTTTCTGCCTCTTCCCCCATCTGAGTTTTTTTTTTTTTGAAATGTTGCCCCTGAGCTGTCCCTCTGCATATATGACAGAATAGGAGTATTTTCTTCTTCCCTCAGACAGTACAGGTTTGCACACACCTTTCCTAAAGTTCACAGTTCAGTGCCATCTTATTTGGTGGTTGCTTTTGTTCCCATGATCTGTCACCTCCCATATGTATGATCAGAATGGTTCACTGAGCCCCTGCAGTACCAGAGTGCAGTTACACATTTCCAGACACTGCACTGAGTGGCTAAGGGTCATGCAGAGCCAGCAGCATTATTTAAATTCCCTTCCTCCACAAGAGTATACCATGGCAACAAAATTCAGCTCTACTGACTGGAGGTGGGAAAACGGAAGCAGTAGGATTAAGTCAGTTTGTGTTAGAATTACTTAATTAGCAGCGAACTGTTCACATGCCACAGCCAGTAGACAGTACTGGGGATGATAGGGAAAAACAGTCCCTTCATATCTATAGTGCCTTTCACTGGACAGTTCTTTTAATTTTTGCCAATATTGTGAGCAACTGTGCGTTAGATACAGCATGTGGAAATGGTTTTAATTATCCAGAAATCAAATTTCATAGAGGTAATTCCACAACTTGGGATATGAATTCTCCTAGGACACTTTGGCAAGACAAAAAGTAAGTTGCTTACTCACTTAAGTCTCTCAGAAGAGCCATTGTTTGAGTGATAGTAAGTGACACAAGCCTCTCTTGGAATCTCACCCCTTTACTTCTACTGGATTTTTGTTGTTACTTAATCTTTTACAAAGAAACCCACAACCCTAAAATGATCATTAACATAAAGAGCTGTACCAGAAGGAGAGCAATCAGAATAGATTTTCAGGTGTTTCCAATGCATAATTATCAGTCCATTTATAATTCAGATTATTGGCTTCCACTGTTATGTAGAAGCACCAACTACTATAAAACTGATATTAATTTTGTAATTTTATTCTTTTACTGACTGTGACCAAAAAAAAAAAAATCTCTTCACTTTGGCATGAAGCAAACTGCCTCAACTGCAGTGGCAGACACGTTTTTTTTAAAAAAAGCCAGTTTCTATTAGCAGTGCTGTCCCTTTTCTCCAGGTGACAGAAGTGTTGCTTATTTTCATTTTACAGCAAAGAGTGTTTTCTATCTGCTTTAGTCAGAAGCTAATATTGTTTCTCTCAAACTCAATAAAAGGAAGCTAATCTTGACAGGAGAGGCTTTTAAAATGGAAGTGGTCTGAATCCTACTTTCAGCAAACTCCTATATAGCCCCCTTTTAAAGCTCTAGATTATTTTCTAGTCACAAAACTTCTTGTATTTTTGAAAAATCATTGCTATTTCAAGGAATATGAGATGTAGGGTGTTCTTCGCATCTCTTGCCCAATTTGTTGTGGCTTCTTCAGGTGTTTTGTTTTTTAATTCTGTGCCCCAGTTAGAGTTGCCAGGTGTCCAGTATTCACCCAGACAGTCCAGTATTTTCTCCTTCTGTCTGGTTAAAAAAAATCAGAAAATACAGGAGACCTAAGATATCTGGAATTTTCTGATTTTTTTTCCCCCAGCCAGGAGGTGAAAATGCCTGGCACCTGGCAACCCTACAAAAACTCAGCCCATGGCCTCCCACCCAAATACGCCCCCCCAGTCCCCCGATCCCAGACCCCATGCTTACCTGGTTCCGCAAGGCTGCTGGCACAAAATGGCGGCCGGCAAAAAGACCAAGGGGAAGCAATGACTCCCCTGGGTCTTAGCGCTCAACTTCTCCCCTGTTCCTATCCCTGCACTCACTCTTAAAGGGAACATGCTGTTTTAATGCTGTTTTATTTAAAAACAAATTTTATGGGGGGCGGGTGTTCTGTATTTTTGTTTCAACCATCTGGCAACCCTAGCCCCAGTCAACAATATCTCTGTGCTCCAGTCACTCATAAGGGAACTGCTTAAAAATAACCCCTCACCAGACTTTCTGAGTCTGTTTCCCCTTGCTCAGGGAAGATTGGCAGTTAATTGTAAAAAAAAAACCCAGGTTCTCAGCAAAACAGGAAGGCAAGCACAGGAAAGACATGTAAACTTTTTTTGAGGATGAATTTAAGAGCTTGATTTGGCCATCAGTGTGTGAAGAGTAGAATAATTTCTGGAAACAATTTTGTTGCTGTCAATTTTTTCCCTTCCATATTGTCAATCAAATCATTATGGCTGAGGCTGGAGGTGTAACTTTAAAAAAAAAAGGCATTAACCTCTTTAACTCTGAAGGACTAAGAATGGCATACTGAATAACATCCCAGAAAGCTGGTAAAGGTTGCCTAAGTAGGATTGCAGCTGATATAAAGATGCACAAAAACATATGCCCACTCCAGAGGATATAGAATTAGCCCCTTTTCCTAAACCTTGTTCATACAAGTAAGCTGTTACTAGGAAGAATCTTGAGTTGGGTTTTTTTTTGTTTGTTTTGTTTTGTTTTTAGAATTACTCTTCATATTGAAAAGCAAAAGACTTTATGTATTACAGCGCATTCTCAGAAAAAGCAATCCAATCAATCATTAATGTTCTCTTGTATAGTGTCTATTCTTTTTTTTTAATTGTATAAAATAAATTGACTACTGCTTTTGACTTTGCATTCATTTATATTTGTTTACAGGGACCATATTTATACTGTTGATATGGATACATCACATACAGAAGAAATTTATTTTAGTAAAGTAAGTTACTTTTTAATCATCCTGAAACCAAAGACACTAGAAAAAAACCCAGAATAAATAGGAAGTGGATATTGTTTCAATCAGCTTACCAGCACTGCTGTAAAAACCGCATTAATCAAGTAAGGTGGAATTGCTAGCCATGTATGGGGAAAACTGGAATAACAGTCATGACCTCTATGAATTCCTGATAAGTGACTTAGGTCGCCTGATAAACAGCCAGTACTGAAATACATTGAGGTCCCTATAACCCATCAAACACCTATTCACTGATATTATGTAGCTTTCTATAATTACTATACTGTACCAATTAAGAGTACTAAAAATCATCATCAAAGGAATAGGACTACTTACGTATTTTTATATTATGGATGTAAAATCCTGTTCAACTAGTTAACCAATTAAACATTATGTTTAACCAGTTAACCAATGAAACGGGGCAAATAAGCAAGGGTAGGTTGCTATGGCCAGGCTGTAGTGCCCCCCCCCCCCCCCCCCCCACCTGGAGTGTCCACTACCAGTGGCAGGCCCCTCAGGACTGGAATTTAACTAGTCACATCCCTATTTCATACACAAACTTTTAGTTGGTCATGCAAGTAAACAATAAATAAAATCTTATTATAATATCATGCTCTAGAGTGTTGTAAGAAAATCCACATTGCGTACATGGGAAATTTATATCCATAATGGGAATAGTTTTGCTTGCATTGCTCTCCTGTATATTAGCATGAATGTTGCTAGAAATAACCTCCAACGAACTTTATTATACTGATTGCATACTGCATATCCTACGTGCTATATGTGGTATTCATAGAACACAGGGGTGAATTTTAGCCCAGGAAAGGAAAAATGGATGTGTTAAATCCATGTTATGGATGAGCTTATGACAGGATAGTCATACTAAAATGATGTCACTGAGAAGCCGAGGAAACAAAAACTAGTGTTACATCCATGAAAAATGTTTTAGTGAAGGACTCTTAAGCTATGTCTACACTCGCAGCTTCTTGCGCAAATATGGCCGTTCTTGCGCAAGAATCCACAGAGCATCTACACTGCCCGCCCACTCTTGCGCAAGGAAATTTACAGTACGGCGTGGCAAGAGAGGGCTTCTTGCGCAAGAGCTATGCTCTTTTTAAACAGGTATAAGCCCTCTTGCGCAGGAGCTCTTGCGCAAGAGGGCAGTGTGGACGCTCAGCAGCGATTTCTTGCGCAAGAAAGCCCTATGGCTAAAATGGCCATCGGCGCTTTCTTGCGCAAGAGAGCATCCATACTGCCATGGGAGCTCTTGAGCAAAAGCACAGCGCACACATGGCAGTGTGGATGTTTTCTTGCGCAAGACTTCTTGCACAAAAACCCTTGCACAAAATGTTCTTGCGCAAGAAGCCGCGAGTGTAGACAGCCTTAATGAATGAGCACTAACTCAATTCCTTCAGTGGAAATGTTGTCAGGTATAAAGGTGTTAGTATTTTAAAATAGGGAATTTTTAATGAAGTTTTACTATAATTATTCAAATCAACTACACTCACTCCATGGCCTAATTGATGACTATATGTGGAGTCAGGATCTTCAGGGTTTTTACCTTCCTCTGCAGTGAAATGTGGGGGCCATCTGCAGGGATCACTCAGGTGTATCACACTTAATTCCCTACCCTGGCATGGGGCCCTAGGGGCACTTCATCTCTCATGTCTCCCATTCGTTGCCTCGGGTACAACATATTCTAGTCTTTTGTGGGCTTTAATTTCTGTTGTTAGATTAAGATGTGGATGCTGAGGTGGTGTAGATGGCCTGTGATATACAGGCAGTCAGATTAGATGATTTGATGGTCCCTTCTGGCCTTAAACTCTGTAACTCTGTAACTTGGCCACTTGGAAGGCTTAAGATTTGCTCAATTCATAAGATGGTGTATGTAGATTCTAGTTCAGGGTTGGGCAAGATACAGCCCATGGGCTGGATCCAGCCCCCCAAGCTGTTTGATCTGGCCTGCAGCCTGCCCTGCTATGCCTCTGCCCCCAGGCCAATCAGGATCTTAGGGCAGGGGAGTTCGTACCAGAAGGAACCGCCAGCTTTTCAGAATGGCTGGTGGTTCCCTCTGGGTGCCATGTGCCCCTGTCATGGCAGGGCTGGGAGCTGAAAGACTTTGTGTGCTCCCCTGCCTGTCAGGGGAGCGTGCGAAGTCTCCTTTCCTCTCTCACTCTCAGGGGCACATGGTGCCTAAGGGGAACTGCCCCTTCTGCCTAAGGTCCCACCCCTTCTGGGCAGAGCCAGCCTGGGACCACTACCAAAATTGGTGAAGTGGCCTCCCTACAAAAATTATTGCCCACCCCTGTTCTAGTTCACAGAGGAATGAAAATGAAAATTGGGATTTACCTGTAATCATTCCAGAGGAACAATATTAGCAGATAAAACCTGTTGTATTTTGATATACAAAGGATCTCTGAGCCTGTTAGCTAATGTGTAGTTAAAGAGAATAATGTGAATTGGGTTTCCTTGTTCATCTGAATTAGACTGTGCCAATGTGTAAGCTTTGGCTTGATAACTAATGAGTTTATAGTCCATTTACAACAATTTGCTTTTTAAAAACAACATCAAATTAAAAGAAATGATGAGAAAATGGATATAACAAATGGATATAAACTGGCTAGTAGGAAGTTTAGACTTGAGATTAGATGAAGGTTTCTAACCATTAGAGGAGTGAGGTTCTGGAACAGCCTTCCAAGGGAAGTAGTGGGGGCAAAAGATCTATCTGGCTTCAAGATTAAACTGGATGGGTTTATGGAGGGGATGGTTTGATGAAATAACATGATTTTGGTAACTAACTGACCATTCATTATCAGTGGTAAATAAGTCAATGGAGGGATGATAGGAGTTACTCTAGAGAACTTTCTGGGTGTCTGGATGGTGAGTCTTGCCCACATGCTCAGGTTTAGCTGATCGCCATATTTGGGGTCAGGAAGGAATTTTCCTCCAGGGTAGATTGGCAGAGGCCCTGGAGGTTTTTCGCCTTCCTCTGTAGCATGGGGTACAGATCACAGCTGGAGGATTCTCTGCATCTTGGGGTCTTCGAAGTTTTTGAAGGCTTCAATATCTGAGATATAGGTGAGAGGATTATTCTAGGAGGGGGTGGGTGAGATTCTGTGGCCTGCACTGTGCAGGGGGTCAGACTAGATGATCATGATGGTCCCTTCTGACCTTAAAGTCTATGAGTCTATGAGAAAAGAAAAGAGTTTTTAAAAAGTGAATATATTTTTAAAAATTGACCAGTTGTTAAGTTCACATGTTTCTAGGTGTTAAAAGGTGAGATAGATTCTGGTTTAAAGAATAGATAGCAACAGAAAATTAAGTGAATGTTCTACATCACTGAACTTTCATTTTTATGGTGAATTAATAATGGAGAAAGGGTGCAGAAAGCTTTCAATAAATATATGTTCAGCAGCTAGTCTCCCCTAGGGAACTCTTACTTCTGAAATCAAATGCAACAACCTCTGGGCTCTAATTGATTTCTTTCTTGATCTTTGCAGAAACTGACATGGAAATCTAGACAGGGTGATGTAGACACATGCAGAATGAAGGGGAAACATAAGGTAGGCAATTTTCATTTCTCCTGAAGCTGCCACTTTAGTTTAGTTTCTTAACTATTATCTCAGACTGCTCTCTGTGATGCGGAATGGATCATGCCATTCACTTCTTTGTTAGTAATTGCTTTTTCCATCAACTTATTGAAGTCTTTAATTTGCAAAAATAGTTTGCTTTTAATGTGATGAAACATTACGACAGCAGCTGCAGTAACATCATGAAATACTTAGAAGCAGTGGGAATTACGGACATAGTGCTAGATGTACTGATATTGCTTAATGCAGCCTTGTATAGCTAAACACTGCTGTCCATTCTCCATTGGGAGTTTACTGAAAAAATCTCATAAAAAGCCTTAATACAAAGTGTGCATTTGTAGACGCAGAGGAACTGATTCTGGTGTAATTCCAATGTTACATTACTGCAAACTATGACTAACACTAGTCAAATCACATTCAGGTCCAGAATTTCTGGACCTGATTTCCATCAGTTTTACTCTAATGTATTCCATTGGATTAATTCATGATACTGTTGTCTTACAGCCATGTATCTGAAAGTTCCTCCATCTTGAGTAAAGCAACAAAATTCTTGAACAATAATGAAGTCCGACCTGTAATGTAAATAAAATGTCTTCACTTCCAAGCAACGGTGTTAAAACAAACAGAATGAAAATTCATGGTCTTGTTCACTGTCAGTTAAAACATTGTGGAACAAAAGCCCAGAATATCACAGTGTCTACTAGCCTGTTTCATTTTATCCCTGACAATAAAAAAGTATGGCACAAGAATAAAGCCAAAGGATCTGTACTATAGTGGGTAAAATACTTATTATTTTTCCGCAGGACGAGTGTCATAATTTTATTAAGGTCCTCCTGAAACGAAATGATGATACCTTATTTATCTGTGGAACAAATGCCTTCAACCCTTCTTGCAGGAACTACAAGGTAAGTTTTGTGTTCAGGAGCTTGCAGCTTTGCTCTTAGAAATTTGACAATTTATTTTCACTGTGTGGTTGGCAGCATAAAAGGGGTCAGTATACGTTATATAGTTTATCCTCATTTATTTGACTTTTTCAGCATTGTACATGTGGAATCTTGACTGTGCTTCTGTAGTTTGCCTGCAACCCTTACACATCAAAGTATATTGCTACTTTATCTTATCCTTCACAGTTGTCTTGAACAATAACTTCTAACTGCAAAAACATGGACTAGTCCTCTGAATTTTCTTAAATAAAAAAGTTTATTAATGATACACCTCAAAGTACAGGCCTGTTGCTGAGAGTTCTCATCCATAAAACATTCTGAATCTTGACTATTGTGTTGTACCCAATGCCAAAGATGCTTGCCTAGACACTAATGGGCTTAGCATAATAGAAACTATGCATTTTTTTCTGTACTGTTATTTGGGGAACGCTATTAGTAGGGAACATGTGCAGGATGCTACACACTTCTTCATTCTGTGAAAGTGATTTCAGCAGCAGACTGCTCCAGGGAAATGCAGAGGAGGAGAAGAAATGGGGTATCTACAAGGTCAAAACTGCACACAGAAATTAGGAACAGGCTTCACTAAAGAGCTACCCAGCTGTCTGTTACTAAAGCATACGGTGGAGTTGAAGGTCTTGTGCTGGACTCCACAGAAATCTATGGGTATTTTTCCAGTTGCCTGAATGATAGCTCAGGGCCTTAGAACTCAGCCTAAGAGCTGAGCCTAACTCTTTTAGAATCTGCCTTTGTCACCAGCTGGATTCCTAACCCCCCTTTTTTGGGGGGGGAGGGGAGAAGATCCAGTTACTACTGATAAAAAGCATATACCTGCTCGCATAATAATCAATGGCAAACCTCTCATTACTTCAAGGTACAGAATCAGGCTGAGAGTTATTGTAAGAAGTGTCCTGAAAACGAACTTAAAATATAAACAGCCAGGAAAGCATCTTCAACATTGACACACAGTATGACCCTGCCTCTCACCATCCTTCCTCTGCCATGGTAGTTCAGCACCTGCAATAGCTTTAGCCTGGGAGGAACATCTGTGCATGTGCAGAGCAGCAGCATAGTCTTACCTATTGGTCTGGGAAAGAAACTTCTTCAGAGAGACATGCATTTCTAGTTAATTCTATTTTGCAGATTCCTGATAAATGGCGAATTGAAGTTAGACTAACTGGTCTGGTAAAAAAAAAAAGTGTTTTTTTTCTTCCCTTATCCCCAACCTCTGATCTGTGTCATGTAGCCAGGTTTCCTGTTTTCAATCCTAAATTTAGTTTGCTGTTTGTCATTGCTTGTTGTACAGTACAGTTAATGCCGGTGACAAATCCCAAAGAGTCACCTTGTTGAAAAGCTATTTCTTCATACGAATGCAGATTTTCTTGGCATCCTAATGTGAGGATCCTTTCTGCAGATGTTTCATTCCCCTTGATATATGGCCCATGCTGATTCCCTCACCTGTTACCATGCTCTGAGAGCCTGCACGGTGATGTCTCCTGGGGCCTATAGAAGGTCATTCTGATACAGGCACATACTTTCACTGACTGTATTTCAGGGATTTCAGATGGCATCAGGGCAATTGAGACATGCCAAACTGAAGATAAGGCCATCCCTCAGCATTGTAAAGTGAAAGTGAAGATGACCCTGGAATGCTGTGCTCCTTGGAGAGGGAAGGAGCTCCTGAGCATGGCTCATTTCCCTTCACCATCACTTGAAATGCTTTCCCATCCTAGAGTAAATGCAACTGCTTCCCTTCAGAAGGTCTTGACAGAAAAGACACATGGCAAGAAACAACTGATGGCAAAGCATCCATTGATTGACTTTGATTTCATTATATATGAGCTTAAAGTTGATTATGGTAGCATGATGGTGCTAGATGGGTTATTTTTCATGGTCTATGATTCTGAACTCTGCATTAGAGCTATACAGTCTGTACTGGTGAAGTAGTTAAATATACTAGAAGGATTTTGCTCCAACATAAAAGTTATTGATGTAACTTGAGCCTTTTTAATGGCTAATAATAAATGTATTGATTGCCAATTAATACTAATTAATGAGTGGGGTGGCGGGAAATAAGATTCTCATCCCAGAATCAAGCTCCACAGAATTAAAACTGACAAGTTCATATCTTAAAGAGCACCAGAGCCGGCCTTAGGCCGATTCACCCGATTCCCCTGAATCGGGCCCCACGCCTAAAGGGGTCCTGCGCTCTGAACCCAGAAGTGTGCCGGGCACCATGGGCGGCGAGTTAATATTCAGAGCTGAGGACCTTGCTCCAGCAATATTTGGAGCTTGGTCTCTCCCCTGGCTCTGCCTGGAGCAGTCTCCAGCCTCCACCTGCCAGCCCCCCTGTGCGTCCTCCCACCCGGCCCCAGAGAGTCCCCCTCGGCCCCATCCCATCCCATCCCTGCCGTGTGCGGCTTTCAGTGCAGCTCCCCCTTGTCAGCTGCTGCTGCTGTCGCTGCCATGCGCAGCGTTTGCAGGTGAGTGGGGAAGGACAACCGGGCGTGACGTGATGTCACGGGCCTGGGACTTTGAAACTACTCGGCCTAGCTGCGGGTTCAGAGTCCGGGGCCCGAGTGCAGACTCCGGCCCCCACAAAGTGGAAGGCAGAAGGTAGGGGAGGGAGTTGTGTGGAGCGGGGAGGGGAGGCACCAAAGGACAGGGTGCAGGAGAGACAAATGCCAGGGGGCCAAGTGCAGACAATGAGGAAGAGGGCAGGAGGGGAGGTGTCAGTGGGAGGGGGGACAGGGTGATGCTGGGAGAGAAGAGGAGAGGGGAAGGGCATTGGGGGCTAGAAGGGGGAGGGAAAGACCCTGGGAGAAGGCTTGAAAAAAGGGGTGAGCATGGAGAAAGTCATGTGTGAGGGCACAGAGGGGCAGGAGGGGAATGGGGGCAGAGAGTGGTGAGGGGGTGGACATCAGGGAAAAAGAGAGCAAAGAGGGCAGGCACCAGGAGGATGCAGGGCTAAGGGATGGTGCAGGTGCCAGGGGATTATGGGGTGAAGCAGAAGGACAGACACTTGCAGGAGAGGGACCAGCATCAGAGGAGAGAGGCAGGAAAGGTGTATAGAGGAAGGTGTTAGAAGAGGGGATGAGGAGGGGTAGCTCACATGATCAGAGTGGAGCTATTGGAGGAGTGGGCATGGAGGAGAGAAGGGCTGGTAGAGGGGGGCAGATCACAGGAGGGCTGAGGGCAGTGAGAAGGGCAGCAGAGGAGGGTGAGGAGTTGGGGGCAGCAGGCACAAGGGGAGCTGATGGAGCAAGGGGAGGAGACATGGCAGCAGAGAGAAAAGGTAAAGGTTTATAAAATATTTATTAATAACTTGGGTGCCACAGTGGCACATACAAACAAGCCACATGAACTCAGTTCAGGTGTACAACACAAAATCCATTCTGCTCATGGGAGGAAAGTCTTAGGCTATGTCTACACTGGCGGCTTCTTGCGCAAGAACTCTTGCAAAACAGTTCTTGCGCAAGAACACGTCCACGCTACCATGTGCAAGCTGTGCTTTTGCGCAAGAGCAACCATGGCAGTGTGGATGCTCTCTTGCGCAAGAAATCTCCAATGGCCATTTTAGCCATAGGGGTTTCTTGCACAAGAAATCCCTGCAGAGGATCCACACAGCCCTCTTGCGCAAGAGAGTTTACGCCTGTTAGATAAGAGCGTAGCTCTTGTGCAAGACACTCTCTCTTACCATACCATATTGTAAATTTGCTTGCACAAGAGCAGGCAGGCAGTGTGGCAAGAAGCCATGAGTGTAAACATAGCCTTAGAGGGAACACTTCCCCCAGCCTCTCTGCCCCCGAGTTATTGTCACACACATTGGATTAATGCAATTGCAGGATAGTTGCATGAGGTGGATTTTGTGGGGGGCCAAACTAATCCCTGTTGGTAGGAGGATGGTGGGAAAAGTCCTTCGAGAGGGGTTACATGACACCTTTTACTTCTGGTCATGTGTCCATCTTGCCCCGAGCATGTCACCTCCACAGGTCTGGTTAACGGGGGTCAGGGAGTGTGGCTAATGGGGGTCGGGGCATGGTTAACGGGGATCAGAAAGGGTCGCTAATGGGGGTCGGGGTGTGGTTAACAGGGGCCAGTCGGTGTGGCTTATGGGGCACCTCCAAAATTTATAGAAATCTGCTGCCCCTCCCGGCCCTGGAGGAGGAGTGTGTCAGCTGCCTGTGCTGCAGGCGAGGGGGGTGTGGGTGTGGGTGTGCTGCGGGCCGCACTTCCTAAAGCCGGCTCTGAAGAGGAGCTCAGGGTGATTAGCAAAGGCAGTCACACTGAGGATAAAGGAAAGCCTAGCTATCTTTTTTAAAACAAACAATACAAACAAAAAAGCGCCAAACCACATCAATAAATAGGTATAATATACAATATTAGTGATGTCTTTGATGTCATTCCCTGCATTTGCTCATATTCTTATATTCAACCCTTCTGGGGACCTGGGGGTGAGAGACAAAGAATGAGCCTTGTCTCTGGCATGTCAACTGAATCCAGTGGTCCAGAACCTCAACACCCAAAGATCAGTGCTAGCTAACAATGAAGAGCTGAAGGATGGAAAGCTAGCCCCTGCAACGTGGTGGCTTAGTCTATTTAAGGACCTGGGTACTATCACAAATATTCACTCTGATGCCAACTTTCCATGTTTAAATCTAACTTACTAAGCCTCATAATATTGGGTGCAAGTATCCTATAGGTTAACATATTAATGCCATTTAGCTCTTTATCATATGCATTACCATTGCTCAAGCAAGTTAGTGGTTAGACCAGGCCCAGTATTCAGTGTTCCTACAGTTGCCTGGTATTGTTATATACCAGCTTCCTCTCTTGAGCAAGCTATTCCCGGTTCCCCAAAATCTGGGATAACTGTCAGTCCAATATTTCTATGCTAAGGATCATAGGCCTATTTTACTTTAATTTTCTTAAGCCAATGCTTTACAGAAAACAGGCCTGTAGGTTCCTTGCATTACTGAAAAATAAAATAAAAGGCTAAGCTAGCTCTACATTGCTGGATAATCTTACTAGTTGTAATATATTAATCTTAAACATGTGGGATCTGCACCTTTCCCTGTAGTTTACTAAAACCTCTTGAACTTGTGCATAAGGTTGAGCTGATTATTTGTATAATTACTGTACCTGATGGTGAATTAATTTCCCAGGGGTTACACTTAAGTCTAAGATTCTAGCCCTACCACACAGATTAATTCTTGCTTGATGGTAAGAGTGTTTCTGTATACCATAAGCTCAATCATTGCAGTAACACTTGGAAAGCCGACCTTTCCAAAGTGCACTCAGGAAAGAGAATAGCACAGTTTTGACTACCCAAAATAGTGTCCCAGTTTAAGAAGGGGGGCAAAAGGCACACATACAAAATTACCTTGTGCTTTCCTTCCTATTTGTCTGAGTTGCAGGCTATTGCTCTGGATAATAGCACTACTGTTGCATCATTTTGAGGATACTATTTGCATATTTTCCAGAACCACAGATCGCATAACCTATTACACTTCAACAGGAAGCTTATGCAGAGATAAAATATCAGCTGAAGACTTTTGTAAAATGTAGTGGGGATGAGAACAAGAAGCTTTAAAGATGTGTGACTTATTGGATGCTCTTTCCTAGATTGATTTTTTGTAATGTTATTATTTTGCATTGTTCTTAACTCTGAGCAGAACCGCTGCTACAAAAAAGGACCTTCTTCTCTGCCTGACATGAATAGTGCATAGGTTTTGTCTTGGTTTCTTTTCTGAATACATTCCTTTTTTTTTTTTTTTTTTTCTTTCAGATGGATACATTGGATTTCCTAGGAGATGAGTTCAGTGGAATGGCCAGGTGCCCCTATGATGCAAAACATGCCAATGTTGCATTGTTTGCAGGTAAATAAAGAAAAATGAGACTATCTCACTCCTTCCCTTCTTGCAGGTCCTGCTTCCTATGATACAGTATCCATCCCCATAAAATGACACATTTAAAATGTGAGAGACAAGATGGGTGAGGTAATATCTTTTATTAGACTAACTTCTATTGGGGAGAGAGACAAGCTTTCTAGCTTGCACAGCTTCCTCAGGTCTCATTTAAAATGTGGCACAGTAAGTGAATAAAGACTCAAAATAGGGGCCATGAGGTATCATTAGTGCAGGAAACTTCTCAAGCTGCAGGATTAACTTCAATACTATAAACAACATTGTTTACAGCATGTTTTCTGATTCATGTTTACTGGATCCATGCTGATAGAAGTGAGATAAAAGAATGCCAGATCAGTGTGAGACAGAAATCCTGACCCTGTTCTGCTTCTATGAAAGCAAAGGACAAAACTCATATTGACTTTAGCAGGAACAGGCTATGACCCTATATTTGGTTAAAATTAAGGTATCTTTCATAAGGAAGGTCAGTTCAGAGATGTTTAAAAATATCTGTGAATGCACTCCTCTCTGCATCAACAAAGAAAGCAGAAGTGCTGTGTTTTTTTTAAAGTAGAAACATCTTGACAGATCACTCCCAGCTGTGGCAGGGGAAGGCGAGAAATCTGTTGGTTTAATAATGATTTATGCTGCATGTAACAGAATGCAGTTAACTAGTGTTTTTCACAGTAATTTAAAATGTGAGTGCATATTAATGGGGTTAATTTAAGCCAATGATTATACAATGATATTTTAGTACTTCTCCACTTTTACATATTTCTGATTATATTGTTTAATTATTGCACTTGTGTTAGTAAGAACCTTGGTGAACACATCTTTGGTTTGGCTGTAACATAGATGGTAAATTATGCTAGCCACATAGGAAAACATTAATACTCTTTTTGAGCAAGTATCTTGCTGTTACATAGAAAATGGTGATTAGATACTTACTCAAAAAGAAGTTAGAAATTCACTTGAGAACGCAGCAGTTCATAAGCAGATCAGCCACTAAATGGAGGTCATTGCTGTAACCAAGAAGACATAGTATCATCTACAGTGTCTGAATTGACATGCTGTCTTTTACAAATATGAGATTCTCTAGGAAGATGCAGCATGCCCTCACTTAGCATAGTATTAATAGTGCCATCTAATTTAAAAATACTAAGGAATAATTCATTAATTATAGTAAGGAGAAAATTAGAGAGATTTTTCTAGAGAATTAGAGAGATTTTTCTAGAAGTTGGAGAGTGGCCTTTTTTTTTTTTTTCTGACTTCTCTTTTTACTCCAGAATAAGTTTAATGCTTCTGAGGAAGAGGGTTTTAAAGAAATAGCATCCACTAATATAAGTGTATTAGATAAGCAGGTGAAGTAAATTAGGCACCATTCCCACGTCATGGGTGCATGTCACACATTCTTACAGTACACTTAAACTGGTTCCTAGGAGTAAGATACAGTGCACGTTATCACAAAAAATAGATAATTGAATAATGAGGTTCTGTGTATCTGAATGCCTCTCAGTGCAAGATGTACAGTTTGTCAAATAAATCGTTACAGAATAGATCAAGTAAACTCACCTAGCTTTAGTAAAAAGATTCTGTGGTTGATGGATTATAAAGTCTGATCCCCTAGGAAAACCTTTTGTTGTAGTCAGCATCTTAGGGAGCTAGCCCACCTGATTTATCTGCAGGATATTCTTATGTGTATAAGATCCTTTGTGCAGCTATTGTAGCTAGTGTGTGTGAAGCGTGATTGGTCACAAGACCTATTGGGATGAGGCAAGTATTAGTGTTAAGCTTTAACATCCACAGTTGAAAAGTTCAGCCTTTTAGTGTCTGCTTTTAAAACATTTATTTTTGCCTAAGAAAGTGGACCTGTTTTTAAACAGCCAAAATCTGATATTTGTTGTGTGGTGCAGAAGTTAGATTACTGCCCTCTAAATGAAAAGATTTAATCTGTTGGTTTTTTTTTAAATCTTGAGAGAACATGAAATGCTGTCTGTTTCTGTTAGTTGGAAATTATCAGAGGTAGGACAAAAGGGCTGAGAAATCTCTGAACAAGGGAACACCCATTTTGTCATATAAGTTCTAGCCTAATACCAGTGTAGATCCCAATGAGTAGTGCAGCTCATACCTACTTCATTTAAACACGACAAAGACTTGAGTTACTGGAGCTGCATAATGTTCTATTCTTTGTGCTACTATAAATTATCATGGATGAAAGACATTTCTTATAACCTAAAATAACCCTACAGTACTAGGAGCAGATTTTGCAGTTGCTATCAAATTAAACTTTGTTAGAGTTCCTGTTTAACTTGTTATGTTTTGCCTCATCTCTTGTCCTTTCTGTGCCCATTCTCAGCTCTCCTCCTCCTATGCTCCTTAAGAGGTAAACATGCCTACGCATAGATCGGATGCCCAAAAGGATAGGGAGCCTTCATCCCCTACATTAGTGTTTTTTCAGATGAGACCTTAAAGGAAGGGAGTTTTTTACACATGAAAGACCAAAAAGAAAAAAGGAAATAAGTGTCAATTAGCTAGCATGACAAAATCAAGGAAAAAGGCTCTCTAGAAGTATCTAGTTTGACAAACTTGTGAAAAACTAGTCTCTTGGTCTCCCTCGTATCCATTTATTTTGCTGGGATCTGTGGATAACAGCCCCATCTTTTCCTGCCACTATTCCAGTCACATTAGATTACCTAAGGTATTGTGGTAATGGAGTCAACAATGAAGCCGGGCAGGACATTTCAGTCTCAATTTATGTGATCTAGTAAACAGGACATTTTCTAGGAATACCCTTTTTTGCAGTGCACCCTTCTAAAATTGCCATTTCATTTTAAAAATGAATATTTCAGTATGCCTGTGATTCCAGTTATCCACTGAGAATTTTCATTCCCAAGAGATTGAGATGATTTCATTTGTCCCATCTCATATGATTGATGAAGGCAAATAATTATATTTCTCCCCCCCTCCCCCCGTCCTATTTTTTCTTTTTCCTTCCTACTCTGCAAGAGGGAAAGCTATATTCTGCCACAGTGACTGACTTCCTTGCAATAGATGCAGTAATTTACCGGAGCCTTGGAGACAGCCCAACCCTGAGGACAGTCAAACACGACTCAAAATGGTTAAAAGGTGAGTAGTTAAGAAAAAAAAGGAGTAGTATCTCTGATTAGAGTCTTGTATCGCTGACAGACCTTGCCACAGTTTCATTTCAGCAATGCTTTCCATCGGATAGAAGAAACTAAATTACATCTTTTACTACACTGATTTACTTACATTGTCCCCCCACTTCCCCTACCAGTTACTGGATACTGAAAGAAACTACAAGTGCCATCACAGCAAACTACATTTCCAAGCCTGAATCTTTCATTTTATAGCTATTGTGTAAAAAAGATGGAATTTTCAGAGCTGGGAGAGGAGACAAAGGTTCTTGGGCTGTGCCTAAACCAACTCCTTTCCTAGGATTGTGGTAGGTAATAATTAGGCTTTTATGAGATATAATTTGTTCTGCAACACTACGGTTGATCAGTATAAATACAATTCTTACACAAAGCCTTATTTTTGTAGTAGTATTTAGGTAATGTATGGCTTTGCTGCTGAATTAGGCAATTTCTAAATACCCTCTTTGTTAAGAGAGTTATTGCTTCACCTCACAAAGGCATCGTTAATGGTAGTGAGACAAGCTGAGGTATAAGGGCTTGGCTTGCATGCGAAAATGCAGAAGAAACCTGTGTGTGTGTGTGTGTGAGAGAGAGAGCCATATGTACTACTGCTATTGCTAAGTCTGGGGAATATCAGTTGCATGTTTTGTTGTTCTCTCCACACAGGAGATTTTGGCCATAAGGATCTACCCTTGCACTAGCTAGCTATGCCCATATTTGAAACTGTCACCATCCTCACCTTTCCCTATTCTCCTGCAGAAATCCACAGGGAGAGGTCATTTCATTGGCATGCATGCAAGTGCATAACTGCTTTTCATTGGTTCTCCACTGCATTGCCTTCAGCCACTGCCTCCAGTCAAAATTCATTGTTTCCTATGTGATAAGCCATTTTCTGGGTGAAAGGTTTGAAAACTGAGCTCTACCCCCTCTGCAAAACTAAAGGAAATTATATGCATTGTGTGCCTTGGGTAGACACATAATGTGCATTGTCCAGGAGGAGAGTAGAGCCATGTGCCCTGGCTGTTGGTTTCTCCCCAGGACATCCCAGAGTAGGGAGGTTGACCTGGAGGTGGGGAGGGCCGCATAGGCCTCCCACTGGCACTGCCTAGCCCAGGAACAATGGGGGCTGGCATCTGCTCCCGAAGGCAGGCTGAGGTGTCAGCTGCTGCCAGGCTAGTAGCCCCTCTGTGTTCATTCCCTCCTATCAGATCCCTTCCTTTCCATTTTATGAGAAACAATCAAATTCCAGGCACATCTCATTGTCCTGGCACAACCAAACCCTGACAAGGTTTTATGATGGGATAAGAGGAAGCTGCATCCCAAATTTGGTGGTCCTAGTTCCTATCATTTAGGAGGAGTTCTTCAACAAGCAGACTCACAAACAGACAGACAGACACACATTTTTAAAATATATCTATTATGTAATGTACTCTTCATCAGAATGTGTTGTTTGTTTACAGAACCTTACTTTGTCCAGGCAGTGGATTATGGTGACTACATCTACTTCTTCTTTCGGGAAATTGCAGTGGAGTACAACAGTATGGGAAAGGTAAGAAAATTGCCTTGAATTGTTTTGTAATATTCAGGGGAAAAAAACCCAAACCCTGCTCTAGGACCAGTGCTGTTAGGAATGACCTTGAAATGAGAACCATAAATCACAATGACAAGGTCATCGTTTTGAGAGGATCCTGCTGCTCAGGCCAAAAGGTTGGTTGGAGTGAAAGATTGCAGTGTCTGGATACACAACATGATGGTGGCAATATGTGCGGGAAGCTCTTTTATTTTCCTAACTCGGCAAAGTAAATGGCAAATTCACTTAATTCATCATATTAAATTGTAGTAGTTAAATTTTTACTTTAAAGAGGCCAGCTGTACTCAGGAGATGAGAATCAGGAGCATTAAGTAAACAAGGCAGGAATTTTGTTCTTTGCTATATTGTAAAGAACAATCGAACACTTACTGAATAACATTTTTTTATATTTCCACAAAAGGCTTCCGACTAAGCAGACAAAAAAGCTGACCAGGGTCACAAAGGTGCAGGATATGAATACAAGCCCAGTGAGGTTTGCATAGTTTTGAGTGGCGAAGATATGAGAACCAGAGGCTGGCAGCGTGGGTTGCAGGGATTGTGAATATAAAGTGCTTTTGTTTGGGGAAATAGAAAGCTAAGCAGCCTGTATGGAAATGAGTTTATATGGGCTGAGAACTGATCTGCGGGAGGATTTATGGTTGGGTATTAAATGCCACAGCCTTATCTTTTATAGCACACTCTTCCAAAGCTGAATTTTCCTTTGTTTTGGTTTGTCACCGATTATGGAAACATGGGATTAAATTAAGCACCTCACTGTGTCATTTTTATTTTTTTAAGGCAGGCTTCCAATAAAGTTTCTCTGATCAAAGACATATTTCATTTTCTCTTTTTTTTTCTTACCTTCGCTGCAGGTAGTTTTCCCACGAGTGGCTCAGGTTTGCAAGAATGATATGGGAGGATCTCAGAGAGTTCTGGAAAAACAGTGGACTTCCTTTCTCAAGGCTCGCCTGAACTGCTCAGTTCCTGGAGATTCACACTTCTATTTTAACATACTGCAGGCAGTTACAGATGTTATCCATATCAATGGCCATGATATTGTCTTGGCAACCTTCTCCACCCCCTATAACAGGTAACCAGTGCAATTGCCTTTTGGCTTATGCTTCCTATGTACCATGTGTTTGCCTTTTTATTGCAGTTTCTTTTTACACTTTAAAACAACAAGAAGCAGTAGCTACTAAAATATATTTTTTTATTTAGCATGTACATGTGGGTACTAATTTTCCATTTTTAAATACTCTGTTACTGTTTATTAAATTATATGACTTGTTTGAGGTGAGCTTTAAATCATGTTCTACATGGGCACCTGCATTAGGTTCATTGTCTTGTATGATGCAATAACTTTACATAGGAACAGGAAACTCTGCAATGTCCAGCTAGCAGAGTTTTGTGCTCTTTCTGTTGTCAGAGCATGATTGGACTCTCCCAGCTCTCTAAAAGAAGGTGTGGGTTCCAGCCTGGTTACCCCAGGTCCCTTAATATCCATACACATGTCCCTGGTCTGCCACCCCACCCCACCAACTCCTGCTAGCTTCTTGCAGTCTGTCTTCTTGAATGGCTGTGCTCTTCAGTTCTTGACCTAGTTGCCAACACACCCATAATAAATGGCTCCAAAGTGTGGAGAAGATACTAGTGGAAGTTAACAGAACCTCATGTTGTGTCAATTTCTGTATCTCTCACCATGAGTTTGCAAGGGAGAATCTGGAAGACTCCAGATCTCATTTCCTGATGTCCAGCCCTTTCTAAGTCAATGGAACAGCAACCCCCAGGTCTGGATGTTAGCAACTAGTCAACTATCTGATAAGCCTATGCTTATCCAATAGTCAAGTAGTGACTTGACTAATCACTTCCCCCCACCCTTGCTGCCTCTATCAGAGGCAGTGAGCGGTGGAGTGGGAAGCAGGAATCGGTGCTGGGGACAATTGGCTTAAAAGCACAGTCTCTGCGAGAGGCAGAGGAGGCAAAGGCGTAGTGGGGGATCAGACGCGAGCCAAGAATCAGCTGTCCTGGCTCGCATCTGGTCCCAGACGCCGCACTTCAGCCTTTTAAATGTATTAAGAGCTTGGCAGCGCAGTTTCCCCCCTTATCGACTAATCGACGGAAATTACATCAACTAGTCCATTAGTTGATTAAATGCAATTTAACATCTCTACCCCCAGGATGCTGTGTTAAAGACAATTCTGTAATGTGAGAGGAAAGCAGGGGGCATGGCCAAGTGAGAAGAGGTCTTCCCATCTCATGGGTGCAGAATCCCTCTCTGCACAGACCTGTCTTCCTATGTGTTTGTACAGAACCTGGCACAACAGAGACCTGTTCTTGTTAAGGGCACTGCCACAACACAAGAAATAAATAATAATGGGATCCATTGTTCTAACACCTGGATTTTATAGTTGAGTATATAAAGGCATCTGTTTAGCATTTGTTACCAGTATATATTATAACATGCTGTTCCATAAGTTATTAAAACACATAACTGCATCTAATTACTGAGGTCTCAGGAAAAGTTAAAAAAATGTTCTAATTAACGAAAATATGCTGCAGGGCCCCAGGGGTCTGTTTCTTTTTCCCTGTTATAAGGGACATTGGGGTTGCAACATGAACTTTATTGCTGGAGTTCATCTGCGCTGGTTGTACATTTCCCACTTATAGTCAAAGGGTGACCCCTCTGAGGTCAATGACAAAACTCCCACTGATTTAGAACGGGAGCAAACGCAGGCCTCCGATGTATAATTACTGCTTCTGACAACAAAATTGGAGTAGTCGCTGTGGAATAATTATGCCACAAATGCAGGACATGACTTCAAACAAAAACAAAGCAACAGGAGCAAATGACCCTGATTTCATAGAAATCACCTTAATAAAACAATAACCAATTTAAAAAATCAAAAGAAAGCCCTGGAGAGTGAGGTATGTCATTAGAATTGTCTCTAAATGGAAAGTTTTCCAATGGTTTCCATGCTGTGCTGTTGGTAATCATTAAGGTATCTACCACAATGACCGTGAGCCCTGAGACCCACCTCCCTGTAGCTGAAGCCTGGAGACTTGCCACCCTTCAGGGCAGAAGCCCTGAGCTCCCCTCTCTAGCCCAACATTCAAATCCACCCCCCCCCCCCCCGGGGGTGGGGCTCTGGGAAATATTATATGAGACTTTAAGCCCCAGCAACCATCATGTAAAATGTAAAGCATTATTCCTGTGGGCATAGTCATTTTTGCAGGGGCAAAAGGGTGGTATATTCTGGCTGGAGACACTGCAAGAACAGTTCTGTGCGTGGAGTAGCTATAGCTAATTTCTTATCCATTGAGCTGGGTCTCGTAAAATGTCTTTGTTCACAGGAATTAGAAGGGGCAAGTAGGAAAGGAGTACTCACTCCCAGCCTAGAAATAGGTGATGGGAAGGGTCAAGCTGGTACTGGGGTTATGGGAAATATTGGATATGGATTGCTGTTCTCCCGCTGTGCTAGTAGGTGGCTAAGTGGCTCCCACTGCTGTGAACCTCAATAGCCAGATCTTTGGCCTGCCCATATCCATCTCCACCAGGATGTCTTCACTATGCAGGGAGTGCAGAGTTACACGCTGGAGGTGTTTTTGTTCTCCATACCAAACCTCCTGCAGTTAAATTGCTTTTGGCCCTTCGTTAGGAGCTTAATTCAGTAAAGTGCTGAACTCCTCCATCTCCAGTGGGATTTCACTGGGAACTGAAGGTACTCAGCACTTGCAGGGATTGCTCTTCTATTTTCAGGATTGAGCCCCAAATACTCAAGGCATCCCTCAGTTAGACTCTAAGGACCAAATTTATCCTGGTGTTGCTCCATCAAAGTTACCCCAAGATGAACTTGGTTCTTTCTCTTTAAAATATTTCAGAACGTAAACTCACATTAATAACCTTAGCACTTTGTCTACTTCCATGAGACAACCCAGCCTTTAGAGAGCTATCCAACTCCCTCTGTTTCAAATAGAGCTAGTGAGAGTCCCCTATTTGTTTCATTTGCTGACCTTTGGACGTTGCATTTTGAAATTAAAATGACAAACTCTCATTAATTTTAGAAAACTCTTTTCATATTAATGTATGTTCCCTCTCATAGTTTTCTTCCCACTTTCAAAGGCCAAGTGCAAAGTTATTTTCAGTGGTGTGTAACAGTCTACTAGCTAAAAAGCCTGATTATAACTCTTGGCCAACTGGTGCTCAGTATTTATCTGATCAAAATCAAGCAGCAGAAGTCAGACACAAATTCAAGAGTTCATGTGTAAACTGATAAATGAATAGTAGATAAATGAATAATTCATAACTTAAGTCATTGAGCAAGAGGAACCTCTAAACCCTGCTGGTAGTGTTTGTGTAAGGATGTAATTATATTTGGACATGGTTACTAGCCGGATACATGCTAATAATCAGAAAGCTTTAATTAAAATGTTTAGTGGCTATAAGCAATGTTGTATTAATTCCCTGCAAACTTTTTACAGTTGTTGAAGTTAACTGTGCGTCGGAAGTCAATAAAAATGTATAGGAAAACCTGATGGAGATCTGAACCTGAAAGCATGGGGTGGTACTGTTCAACTCTCAGGCTTAATGAGATCCTTCAGCACAGAGATGCATCAGCTCCAAATTCCAAATTATCTCCAGATTATATTTTTGGGGCCCAGCAAGAACTGTGAGAATCCAATATTGAGAGTGTATTATACATTACAGGAACTTGATTTTCAAAGTGCTGGACACTAAATTGGCTAGCCTGTGATGCTTCATACATCACCAATGGCAGGCATCATTTCCCAGATTCATTTCCCTCTTCACGATTACTGAAATTCATTCTTTCTATAGAGGCTTTTGAGGCAAGTTGTGCTGATAGGAATGGACTACCCATTGATACTTTTTTAAACTTTTCCATGGGGCAGACTTTTACTGTCAATACCCAGAGGTTAGAAAGTTCAGGAATGATTAGCCTGTGACAGGAAGACTTCTATGAAGCATGTTTTTCAGTCAAAATTTTATGCATAACTGCATAATGAGTAACAATTTCTGGGAAATGTCACGTTGCAGCATCCCGGGCTCTGCAGTTTGTGCCTATGACATGCTTGACATTGCCAATGTATTTACTGGGAGATTCAAAGAACAAAAGTCTCCAGATTCTACATGGACCCCAGTTCCTGATGAACGAGTGCCGAAACCCAGGTATGCATTGATATGCTGTGTAGTAATGAATTGTGTGTTGATGCACACACGTGTGACAGTTTGAGCAGCAATGTGAAATACAAATGTAATGGGAAATGCATATTTTAAGTGAAATAAGAATTCAGTCTGATTCTGATCTAAGTTATGGTGACATAAATCAGGAGTAGTCTGTTGAAGTCAGCTTTAATACAGGATAAGTCAGATCAGGATTTTACCCATTAGGTCAAAGTCAGGGGTTGCTTAAAGGCTGTGTAAGTGACACATTGTCAGGAAATGAATGGCACCAATTTGCCATTCATAGGGGAACATAACAAATATAATTAATGTGCCAAGTATGAGGAAATAAGGGGGAAGACGGAAAAGCAACTAACCAGAGAATGTTAGATAAAATAGGGGATCTGCTTTACTACCCATATTCATTGCTTCCCATATGTCCCCTTCCCTTAGAATGTTCATTGCACTCATTGTGTGGACCAAATGAATAACAGTTCAGTGCATGTTACATAACCTTGCTGCCTACACCCATTTTTTGACTCACTCAGTCACGCTCAGGGCAAGATTCCATTTAATAGTATACTGTTGTAAATCTGGAATAATTCTATATATGTCAACAGAGTTATACCACTGGCCCCAAATCCATAAGGCATTCCCCCACCACTGTTAATGTCATCATTTAATTTGCTCCTACATGGGGGTTGCACCCAGTTACACCAAGTCTGAATTTGGCCCATTATGTTTTAAACACTTAGGGTATGTCTACACTACAGCGCTAATTCGAACTAACTTAGCTCGAATTAGTTAATTTGAACTAAGCTAATTCGAACTAACGCATCCAGACTAAAAAACTAGTTCGAATTAGCATTTTGCTAATTCGAACTAGCATGTCCACACAGAGTGGACCCTGAACCAGGGTTAAGGATGGCTGGAAGCAGTGCCGGCAGGGCATCAGATGAGGACTTAGAGCGTGGAGCTGCTGTCTCAGGCTAGCCTAGGTGCTTAAAGGGATCCAACCCCCACCCCGGACAGACAGTTCTCAGGGTTCCCCGCTTGCAAAGCAATCCTGGCTTGGAGTGCCCAGAGTACCCACACTGGGCGCATCACAGCACTCGGCCATCAGACCGGCTGCACTTATCGCAGGCTGCCATCTGGGAAGAGGGGGCAATTGGGGGGCTGCAGGAGAGCTTCCACCCCCAGAAGCCCGCAGAGCCAGCCCAGTCCTCCCCATCGGGGGCTCATACCCCATTCCTCCCTCACCTCCTTCCACTTACCCCTCGCTAGCCCCCCTTCCTGATGTACAAAATAAAGAAAACGTGTGGTCAAAAA